ACATCTTTTACAAATACAGATTTAGCATCCCTTATTTGGAATTCTGAAAACCCAGATATTCCAAAATCCAAAATTGTCCACACGGGTGGTTGAGATAGTGATACCTTTGCTTTCTGATAGTTCAGTGCACACCAACTTTCTTTCTTATGTGTAATTATTAATAGTATTGTGCTTAAAATTACTTTCAAACTGTGTGGATAATATGGTGCATGTGAAACAAATTAATTTCATGTTTATACTTGGGTCCCCTCTTCAAGCTATCTCATTGTGTACATACACACAAATACATTTATTCCAAAATTTGAAAAAAATCTGAAGTACAAAATACTTCAGATTAAATCAATTAAATCTTAATTAAATTTCTAATAAATACTTTAAAAATTCCATCTTCTCAATGGTTAAATTCTAAAGACGTATCCAATCCCAAATATGATCTACTATGGTTGAAATACATTTGCAGCATCAATTTCTGTAAAAAAAAAAAGTCCCCTCTTAGAAGAATAGCTAAATAGTATTAAAATACCACCCTGTAAGCCTTCCCTTGCTACACTTCCATTTCGAATGGGTTGTGGAACAAGTTATTACAGGAGTTAGGATTGTACATCTGCTTTCACAATCTTCACAAGGCAAGAATAAACATGAAGCCATCTCAAATTCATTTGGCCCAAATGGAAAATCTAATGAAAGGACAATTAAAATCAACGTTTATTTTCTTTTTGAAGGAAACCCAAACAATCTTAGATTTCCTTGACCCATCCCTCTATTCCTTTTGTATAAACCAAACCTCGGAAATCATTCTCTTTCAACAACATAGTGGAAACTCCCAGAAAGAGGAAGAGGCATGAAAACGATGTAGAGTTGTACTTACCAGATATCCCAAAGGCCAAGCAGATAAAAATTAGAATGTGAAGTAAAGTCTCCATTTTCTTGCTAACAATTCCCATTGCCTCTTTCTCTCTATTTCTCTCTCTCTCCCTTTTTTTAAAAAAAAGTATACCCCAGATAAGTGAAGCGAAGGCTAGGAAGGAAATGTGCCTTCACAGGAGGAAAAAGTTAGTGACGAACACTTCCTCCTATTCAATTGCTTTTTGGGGAATTTTATACCACTCTGCTCTTGCATATGATCCTTCAGCCAGTGCTAGCTATCTGGTCTGTTTAGGAAAATCTAAGCAAAAGAAGACCACATTTTATAAAAGGAATACAGTGCTTGCACTTCTTTGAAAACTCATCTGAGAATAAGGAACTGTAATTTTGTTTAATTGTCTGTTTGTGAGCCACTACATGTCTGCAGGTACTCTTGATTGGCCAGTGAAAATACAGATAACACTGTTCTGTAAATACCACCAGCATTTTGTAATACTATGTTATGTATCAATCCAGGAGCCGCACATGATAGAAATTGCTCATTACTGGAGGCTCCAATATCAGAAAAGTGAAGGGCCTTGTCTCCAAGGCTATCTTTTACTTTCTTCCGTTGTGAGTTCAATTGATGTTTAGATGTTGGGTACTTCAGAAAGAGGTTTTATCATCCAATCAATCTGCCTCATTCATGATTTGCTTTTATTTTTTGAAGAGTCAATCCAGATGTCATAATGTTCCATTTGTCTACTTTTTCCAACTGTTTCTTCATGTATTCATATTATTTCTTATTCAAAACCTCTTGAGGCAAACACAGAATTCTTTTTGACTGGTAGTTCTAAGATTCCAACACCTAAAAGCACTCATATCAGGAACTGGGATTCATTGACACCTGGAAGGTAATGTTTCCTTATCTGTTGTATGAAAAAAAAAACAACACAGAGGGGTAGACAGGACAATGGACAATGATTCTCTCATATGTGCCTTATTGTGATGAGCAACATCATTCAGTTGCATGATAAATGTCCGGTAGCTGGTTGCATCTTCCTTCTCTGAAGTCATGGTTTTAGAACTTATATTTTCTTAGCCTTTGCATATGGGTTTTCCCTGAACAATAGACATCTTTTTGAGAAGCTTCCAGATTAACGACTAAGCCAGAAGCTCACAAATTGTCTTGAGGGACTATGAATTTTGGGTCTGGAAAATTCCTGAAAATTGCTTCAGGTGTGTAGTTAGTGTAAATTTTTGCTCACCTTTAGACATGGTTATGAAAGTGCACTTAGTTCAAAGTGGTTGATTCCTCTATTGGGGCAAGTATGAAGCTCTCCCATTCCATATATAGGTGTCCACCGGAGTGTAAGTAGATAGAAAGTAGCTAGAAAGTAGATAGAAAGTAGCACTACCATATCCTCCTTAACTGCAGCTCTAATGTGGCTTAAGAGGTCATCTCGCAACTCCCGCAAAAACAAACCAGGGATGAGCTTGCAGCAGTGCCTAGTTTGGAGGAAGTCAGCAAAGCTATCAGCCAACTAAAAAAATAACAAAGCCAGTGGCCCTGATGGAATCCCTATTGAAATCCTTATATTGAACTCTATGTTTTCACACTGGTGTGGCATTAAGGGTTGTGTGATAATGTGGAAGGATGAGTGTTTTATTTTGTAATTATACATATATAATGTGATTGGGGATGGCATTTAATTTTGTTGTACGATGTGCAATGGTAATAAAGTTATTCTATTTGAAAGAAGGTGGACCTGTGTTGAAACAACACCTCCACCAGCTCATTGAAGAAATGTGGGTGACCAAGACAATCCCAGCAGACTTCAAGGATGCCACTATCATAATCTTTTTCAAAAAGGGGGAAAGAACAAACTCTGGAAATGATTGAGGTACTCCCTTTTTACCTCCTCTGAGAAAATTCTCTCAAGAATCTTTGCAAACCACCTTTTACCTATCTCAGAAGACATCTCAGAATGACTTCCACCCCTCCAGAGGAACAGTGGGTATGATTTTCACTACACGACAGCTTCAAGAAAAATACATGGCATTCATTGACCTTGCAAAGTCATTTGACACAGTGAATCACAATGCTCTCTAGACCATCCTCATAAAAATTGGATGCCTTGATAAATTTGTGAACTTTCTGCAGCTTGTCCATGATGATATGACGGCAACAGTCATGGACACCAATGGCTCCCAAAATGACCCATTTAAGGTGGAATCAGGTGTCAAACAGGGATGTGTTATTGCCCCAAGCTTATTTTCAATATTCATAGTTATCATTCTGCACCATGATGATGGGAATCTTCTCACTGGTGTGGAAATCACCTATTGGACAGATGGCAAACCATTTAACTTCAGCAGACTGAAAGCCAAAACCAAGATCACAACAATGTCTGTTATAGTACTCCAATATGCTAATGTTAATGTAGTCAGTACTCATTCAGAAGAAGATCTATAAGCTACTTTGCAGAACTATATAAAAAAGCCTGGCCTCACACTGAACATTGAGAAAACCAAAGTGCTCTGCCAGCAGGCACTAACCAATCCCTCTGCAATGCCAGAAATTCAGCTTAATGGTGTGACGCTAGAAAATGTTGACCATTTCTGCTACATTGGCAGCCACAAAAATCAATATTGACACCGAAATATTACACTATCTGAGCTGTGTAGGTGCAGCATATTTTTGAATGAAGCAGAGTTTTTGAGGATCGGCATATTCAGAGGGATACTAAGGTGCTCACTTCTAAAGCTTTTGTCCTCCCAAGTCTGCTGTATGCCTGCAAAATGTGGACCCTATACTCTCAATTTTAGAACGATTCCATCAGCATTGCCTCCAAAAAAATCCTGCAAATTTCTTGGGAAGGGAGGCAGACAAATGTCAGTGTTTTGGAAGAAGCAAAGACCACCAGCATTGAAGTGATGATCTTTAAGCATCAACTTTGTTGGACTGGCCATGTTGTCCAAATGCCCGATTGCCATCTTCTAAAACGGTTAATATACTCTCAGCTCAAGAATAGAAAATGGAATGTTGGTGAAAAGGAAAAGAGATTTAAAGATGGGCTTAAAGCTAACCTTAAAAACTGTGGCATAGACACTGGGGCACAGAAGCCCTGACCCTCGAGCATTCAAATGGACACCAACTGTTACCAACAGTGCTGGAGAATTCGAAGAGGCACGAATGGAGGGAGAAAGGGAGAAACGTGTCAATAGGGAGGTGCATCAAACCAACCCTTGTCGTGACCATCTTCCATCTGGAAATTAATGTCCTCATGGTGAAAGAACATGCAGATCTGGAATAGGTCTCTACAGTCAGCTACGGATTTACCGCCAAGGCCCTACAGTTGGAAGGCAATCATACTTGGCCACAAGGGATCACCTATGAAGTAGATATCACTCTCTACTACATCAGAGGTCAGCAGCCTAGTTTAGGGTTGTAGTATGTGCAACATGACACCCATATTCATCAAAAGAGGGCAATGTCAGGGAGTTCAGGAGGATTTGGCAATGATATTGCTGTTGCCTCTAAGCAGAAGTTCATCTCAGTTTGGGTATGGGGCTTGCCTATATTCCACTGTGGATACTGAAACATAGAACTTGAAGTACAGAAAGTATTCCAGAGAAAGGTTCAAAGGCAGGTAAATTTCAATGTGGAATGTTCTCAAAGCCCATTTTGGTTTAACTGGGTATTGCACAGGAATGACATGCTATACAATGAGCTCTTGGTATCTGCTGGGGTTTGGCTTCAGAACCCATTGTGGAGACAAACATTTGTGGATTTGAAAATCTGTGGATGCTCAACTGTCTTTATATATAGCAGTACAGCAAAAACTTGTCTCCTATATAATATGACAAAGTAAAGGTTTGCTTTTTAGATTTGTAGGGATCATGGATAGTTGTATGAAGACATGGATAGTTGAATCTGTGTCATGGATGGTTTAATATAATAGATACAGAAACTGTTAATATGTAGGGCTGACTAAATTTGCATTGAGAAAATGTCCAGGTTCGGTGAATATGTCTTGTGGGCACTGCAGCAGAAAATTAACAAAGTACAGTAATCCATGTCTTTAGGGTCTATTAGATTAGAAGAGTTGCAAAATACAATGATAATCAAGGAAATAAATAGAAATGCAAGCGTATTCAGATATTTTATACCAAGTTTATTGGCTATATGAAGCAGAACATCACTGTTTAATAAACTCATTATTTGATACAATGCTGAAACCCTATATCTGTTTCCAAAAAAAGAGGCATACCTGCTAAATAACTAGATCATTGCCAAGATATAAACAAAAGAAAGAAAGATCCTCATTTTTCATATAGTATTCTACATTTCCACCTCCAAAACGTCCATCTCTCATTAAAAGGAATGAAAGGTTTGACATTTTATTAGAAAAAACTCCAACATTTTAGTAAAAGACAGGCAGATATTTAAAATTTTTATTTTTAAATATATGTAACAAAGTCTCCCTGCCCTCAAAAGTAAAATGTCTCACAAGATTTAGAAATACACTGGATTCTGTCCTGGAGCATAAAGTAGCTTCTAAGACAATAAACAGTACTGAATAAATACATAACATTGAAGAAGACACTGGACTCAACCCATTGGAAACCACTTTTGAACAAGCCTTTTGAAATGAGCTCAAATTCCACAACATTTGAACCTACATGACAATATGGGCTTCTTTTCCAACTTTCTTTTAATCGGGCTTGCTCATGAAATATTCTCCTTGTGTTGTAACCATTGTGTTCCGCAATGCTTTACAGAAGTTGCTATACACATCAAATACCTAAGAGTACTTACTAGAGCTGTTATATAAAATACAAACTGATTTTGTATAATTTCAAAATCAATTGATTTTTACTGACTTTTAAAAACTTCCCCCCTCAATTTCATTTGAATTCATAATCAATCACTTGTGGTTTTTAGCAGCAAGAATCCCACATGAATCCAAATTACATTTATCACAAAATATGTCATAGCACTTAACAGGTACAGTTGAACACCTGACAGCCTATTTCACAAGACAAATTTTGCAAACGTTAAATTGTTTATACACATTTCATCAGTTAAATTTCCCATGTCCAGCTGTTATAGAACATACATACATACATTCTGTGTGGCAGATTCCATTAATACAGAAATAAATCTCCCATAAGATATATGCAAAATCCAAATGTAACATTGGTACATTAACCTTCAGTAAAACTGTTTCAGGGAACTCACATTACATTCAAGACAAGGATCCACCAATCGTTTATGCATATTTTTTTTAAAAAAACCATCCACATTCCTTTTACAAGCTGACTGCAATGCCTTTTCTTCCATAGCCGTAAACTCCTTGAAGAAGTTGCTGGTAGGTAATAAATCAATTACCTCAAGAGAGATTGACTCGTTTGATTCTCCCTTCTTGAATTCATGGGACCACTTCAGCAGAGAGTCTGCTTTCATAGAGGCTCAAGGCATGATGCACAAATTCATACTGTTCACTGGTTTGGACCATTCCACCTCTGAAGAAAAAAGGAAAAAGGGTGATGGTACATTTTGTGAGAGACAAAAGTATGACCAAGCAACATCAGAGCGTCAAAATCCTACCCTAAGGTCCTATCATGCTCCCTATCATCTTGCCATATCTCATGCTATGTATAATCTCAGCAGCTACTATGTCTAGTCAACTTGCTTTCTGTATTTTAGAGTCCTATGTATATAATGTATGTGTATAATCCTCAAACATCGTAATAAACTATTAGATTGTATATGCGTCAATGTTCATATATGTAATAGAAGTGATAGGTGAGGAACTGCTTGTTAGAAAATTATCTGCTTGATAGCAGACTGGCACAGCAAAATCTCACTAGCTAGGAATGCTGGCCTATCTTGTTTGGGCTGACTTACAAGAAGACAAGATTCCAGCGGGCCTAAAGGAGACCATCATAAAACCGCTGTTGAAAAAACCATCACTGGACCCCACTCAATCGAATAACTTTGGGCCAGTTTCCAATCTCCCATTTTTGGGCAGAACCATGAAACGTGTGGTGGCCTCACAACTCCAGGTGTTCTTGGAGGAAACCAATTATCTGGATCTAGCACTGTCTGGCTTTAGGCCGGGTCATAGAACAGAAACAGCCTTCGTCACCTTAATGGATGATCTACGCAGGGAACTGGACAGGGGGAGTGGGTCCCTGTTGGTTCTCCTGGACCTCTCAGTGGCCTTCAATACCATAGGCCATGGTATCCTTCTGAGATGCCTCACGGGAATGGGGCTTGAGGGCACTGTTTTACAGTGGTTCCAGTCCTTCTTGGAGGGTCGCTCTCAGAAGTTGTTGCTGGGGGGACACCTGCTTGGCCCCACAATCTTTCTCTAGTGGGGTTCACAGGGCTCAGTATTGCCTCCCATGTTGTTTAACATCTACATGAAACTGTTGGGAGAGATCACCCAGAGTGTTGGAGTTCGATGTTATATGTACACAGATGATAAGTAACTCTTTCACTCCTTTCCACCTGCTACTAAAGAGGCTGTTCAGGTTCTGAACCATTGCTTGGCAGCTGCAACAGACTGGATTAGGGCAAACAAATTGAAATTGAATCCAGACAAGATAGAGGTACTCCTGGTCAGTCAAAAGGCCAAACAGGGTATAGGGTTGGATGGGGCTACACTCCCCCTGAAGTCACAGGTTCACAGCTTGGGAGTGATCCTGGATTCATCGTTGAGCCTGGAACTCGAGGTCTTGGCAGTGGCCAGGGGAGCTTTTGCACAATTAAAACTTGTGCACCAGTTGCGCCCGTACATTGATAAGCCAGATTTGTTCACTGTGGTCCATGCTCTTGTTTCACCCTAATACATTACTGCAATGCGCTCTATGTGGGGTTGCCTTTGAAAACTGTTCAGAAGTGTCAAGTGGTCCAACTGGTGGCAGCCAGATTACTCACTGGGGCAGCATACAGGGAGCATACAACCCCCCTGCTATGTCAACTCCACTGGCTGCCAGTCTGCTACCAAACACAATTCAAAGTGCTGGATTTAGCCTATAAAGCCCTAAACGGTTCTAGCTCAACTGATCTGTTTGAATGTATCTCCCTCTATGAACCATTTCGGAGGTTAAGATCATCCGAGGATGTCCTGCTCTCAATCCCACCACTTGCAGGTGCGACTGGTGTGGACGAGAGACAGGGCCTTCTCAGTAATGGCCCCTCACCTATCGAACTCTCTCCCCAGTGAAATTAGAGCAGCCCCCACCCTCCTGATATTAAGGAAGAAAGCAAAAACGTGGTTATGGAACCAAGCTTTTGGCTAGCAAGTTAGTGTAATACAAGAATATGGAATAGTGAAATGATTAATGGAATGGCCTTGGATTTGATTTTGGATGATGTGATTTTACTAATTGGTTTTAATTTTAATGTTTTAATTTCCTGCTTTTAATGTACTGGTATATGTGTTTATTTTACTGTATGTATGTTATGGTATCAATTTACTGCCTTTTTGTAAGGCAGCTCTGAGTCCCCTTTGGGATGAGAAGGTCAGGATAGAAATGTAGCAAATAAATAAATAAATACACTGAAAATTTCAAATTACACATTCGGATTTGGCTTGCCCTTCTTCATTGTGCACACTGCTCTTCAACTATTCACTGATTTCAGAGCAACGTGCATCTTAAAACGTATAACCAAATGAGAATATGACTCCCAATGCCAATGCATTTTCATTCTTACACTAAATATGTGACCCTCCGTGCCCTGAGAGCACATGTACAATGTGCAGCTTTTCCTGTCCTTTTTCTAACGCCTACCAGGCTTCCTGTCTTACCAGCTGACACTGAAGAAATGTTTACAGTGGTGATTCATTTCAGTGCCTTAGCAGCAATTCTGTTTAATCTGACCATAAATGTATGGATCAGATACGTGTGTTAAAAGGCGTGACATAAATGAATTGTGGAGGTTCTGCATAATTACAGAAGAGAAGCCTGGACTAAAATGGTTGAAAGATAGATGGAAGGGAAAGGGCAATGTACCACTTCTCCTACTATTCCTTTACTGAAAATTGTAGGTTCTTATTGCAAAAATAACCAAGAAACAGAAAAAAAAATAGAAAAGAAAATCATTAGATCCTTGAAAACATCATTACTGCACATACTCATGTATAAATTGGCCTCATGTATAAGTCAAGGACAGGTTTGGAGGCCAAAATATGATCTATGGATAAGTAGGGTGTTATTTGACAAAAAGGGGAAAACACCAATGGCCACGTCCATCACCACCACCATTTCACCACTCAGGCATTAAAAAGACCAGAATTGGTGACATGGTGGAGAAAATAGAGGAGGTCAGTCCTTCTTCTAGGTTCTCCCTGGATGAACTAAGCCAGTGGTTCCTGGGTATTTTGGACTTTAGCTCCTGCAATTCCTAACAGCTTGTAAGTTGGCAGGGATTTTTGGGAGTTGAAGTCCAAAACAACTGGAAGGCCAAAGGTTAGAAACCACTAGACTAAGCTGTCAACTTTTGCAACTCTATTCGAAGATGGTTCCTTTTTCTGACAATTGTTAAGGTACAGCCAGGCCCGTAGCCAGGATTTTGATTTGGGGGGGGGGGGGGGCTGAGTCTGAGTGAAAGGGGGTCTATCCTAGCAAACCTTTTGTATCATTACCCCAATACCCCTATGCATATGGAATATATTGAGCATGGTGATCAGATCATGATATGAATAAACATAACAGTTGAAATAATGTACCAGTAAGGCCTGCTCACGGACCACCATGAGAATTTCGGGGGGGGGGGAGGTGAAGCCCCTGAAGCCGGCTACATGCCTGGGTACAGCACTTACAATGACCCATGGATAGGTTGGCTCAGGTTTTTGGGGTTGATTGTTTGACTAAAATTTCTCGACTTATATATGAATATACTTTATGTATTTATACTCAAGGTCCAACAATACTCTGGTGAAAGAAACATCTTTATTTTAAACTGTAATTTGCCACAGTAGGGTTGCTCATTTAGTCTGAGACTACAGTCTCTGTTAGAAAGTTGGGATCAACCAGACCTTGGACGACAACTCTCACAAATCCACAGCCAGCATGGCACTCACTCCATCTTTCTTGCCCATCAATAAAACTCTTGTTCTCTTTGGCAGGAAAAGCATACAAAATATCTGGAAATTGCTAATAGACATAGTGATGCTTTTATGCATATCTACTTGTCCTCATACCTAGCTGGACCCTGACTGCATTAATTTGCTAATTGTGCTTGTTATGTTTATAATGTATACAAAGTCAGAATTAGTGAGATTAGAATAGGGGCAAATGGGACTTAAGAAATATCAGGTGGGGTTTTCCATTTTATGTCACCTTACCTGTCCAAACGCAGTTGGCAGACAATGCTTAATGCATCAACAACTCCTTCTTCCTTGAGCTGATGACACCCAATAGTAGTAGCAATAAAGCATCCAGTTCTTCCTATTCCAGCACTAAAAATATATATTTTAAATGAGACCAAACATAAATGGAGTCAGAACGATATTCATCAATTAGCATGAACTTATAAGGAAACTAGAAATCTTTTTCAAATCCACTTTCAGTTCCAGTTTTGGGGGAAAAGGAAGGGAATAAATGATGATGGAATGTTTTATGGTCTTTATGCATGCATATGCTGCACTGTTACTGTGGGACACAATGAATATTAGTTTCGCTCCCTGCAATCCCTATCTACTGGGTAGCAGCTGCTGTGATCCACAGAGGTCTATTCCTTTATGACTTATGAAGCAACTGGCTACTATTGGCCCGCTGCCATGGGAGCAATCCCCATTGCAAGAAGCTGAAACAGGATCCCTGGTGCAATTCCCATTTGTGCCAGATACCGCAGCAGCTGCTGTCTAGTAAGTGTGGACTAGGGGAATTTCATGGTCCCCATGTAGCCACTAAATTATGGACTATGTAGAGATCATGAAAATGTAACAGTTATAACTTATGATATACAAGATTCCAACCACTGATGATGATTATAGTATAATGTTATCAACAGAAAAAGAGGAATGTGATGCACTGTTGGACCAAATTATGATTCCATAATTTAGATAGAACTGTTAATATTAAATTACCACAGAACAGATGTTGTCCAAAGAGTTGCACTGGAGGTCTTAGAGATTCTTAGAAATAAATTTTCTCTAGACATTATGGATCCTTCCGTACACCGTTTTAAAAAATTCACGTTACACATTTTTGCAGGGAAGCTGTTCCCCTTACCCCAGCTAATGTGTAGGGCTGACTGTATATGATAATACCAGCAGATAGGCAGAATGATGGAGTTACCTCTGGCAGCAGGATATAATGAAAGAACAGCAAATTTGCTCTCATTGCTTTCATTAAATTTGTTTTCATTGTATTTTTATTGCAGACAACAGGGAAGGAAATGTACTTGTGGGACACAGTGCCAAAACATTTTGCTGGCTTTGAGTATTATGTAATTTGACTTGTGTGGATTTGTTTCTCCACCTCAGGTAGCAAAGTGCCTTGGGCTAGACCTGTATTCACATTTATTTTGTACACAAATACATGTGTTTTTTCTTGATTTTGTGGATGCTAATGTAGAAATGAAACTAAAAATGGCCTAAATTGACTGGGCATAATTATTTACAGAAGAATTCAACTCAAAATCATTTTCAAATGATTGAAAACTAGGTCTCCTTGTCAACAAACCTCTGGAATGTGTGTCATCATAAAACCATGACATAACTGGGAGATTATATACAAATGGTGAATAGTGGCCAATCGTTACACAATAGTAATCCCACTATTCTTTACACATTGAAAAAACTGCACAGCCAAAGTCAGTGTTGATTCTTAGGCATTATTTGATTTTACTTACTTCCTTAAACAACTGGATAGAGTCACAGGACAAATGTGTAGCTGTGTTCTGCCACATTATGGTGGGAATGCAAAATTACACTTTTCCTTGAGATTGTAAAAAAAGATTATTGTAAGGGGAGGATTTAAAAGCAGATATGATCAATAAATTACCAGATCTATTAATAAAGTGTGAGGAACAAATATTTAAAGTTTTTAAAGAATGGGCCACTGGTTGCTGCATGGTTTTGAATGAATTTAAACTGCTTTTAATGTTTTTATGGATTTTAACTTCATTATTTTAATAATTCTATTGAGTTTGACTTTTCTGTGTTTTTTTTCTTCATTGCATTACTTTTAAAATTGTCAGCTACACTGGTTCCCATTCCTGGGAAAATGGGGTAATAATAATAATAATAATAATAATAATAATAATTCTCAAAAATGCCTCTCGTTGGCTGTATCTGATCCTTGGTCTGCACTGTGCCTACTCCTGCAAAGTAATAAATTCTACTTTATTGAATTTTCAAGAGATATAACATTTTGAAAAAAGCAAATTACCTGCAATGCACAATGACAGGTCCTCTTCCAATTGATGGCTTCCGGTCTTCTTCGACATCCAGCATGAGCTGTAAAAGTGGTTGAGCACTATCTGGGGTTTTGTGGTCTGGCCAGGATGTGTACCAATAGTGTTTGACTTGTCTTGACTGGCCTCCTTGCTGAAAATAAAGACACACATTTATGATAAACCATAGACCATATGTAGCATTACTCTCTAAAAAGAAGGACATAAAAGCAGGTCTCCCAGCCGAAGGAACGAATCCCAATAAAGAAACCCCCACTGTGTAAAACAGAGACATTTTCTGATCCCAATGAACTTCAGTGCATTCTGGTGTCCAAATATGGCCTATGTCCCAAAATGGGCTTGAATGTGAAAAATCAAAGTGCCCCTCACAAACACACAGAGCTAAAAAAAACAAACAAGGTGCAATGAAAGACAGATTAAAAAATATAAAACAAAATGAATAGCTCTAAAATGCTCCTATTACACATGAGGACAAGGTCTAGCAAGGCTAAAATTCACTTTTGTCATGTCATGAGCTCTCTTTCAGTAGATGTGTATATGTCAATAGAGTTATGGGTGGATAACTTATGGGCTCCCAGATGCTTGTAAACTGCATCTCCCATCAACCCTGGCCAATGCTGGGAAATCCAACAATGTCTGGGTTATGACAATTCATCTGTAAAACCTGAATATTTCATTATTTGACATAGTTTTTGTACACATCTGACTGATACATATATTTAGACATATGCAATGTTATATTGGTCACATTTTTCTTGCACTTCAATTGCCAGAATCCTCTAGCCTTGGAGACTATGGGAACTACAATACAAGATTTTACTATGCCGTGATCTAATGCTGACATATTCTGCATATAGAGGGATGCATAGGGCTTTTATGCTTTTTCTTAAATTCATTATTTCTATTTTTTCCCTAAAACCTACTGAATGTTCAGTTCTCCCCCTAGTGTAAATCAGTTCCACAATCTAACCATCAGGTTTTAAAAAATAAATTACCTTTAGTGTAAGATTACGGACAGTATAATTCTCACAGTCTTGCACACTGTTGACAAGTACTTCTACTTTCCCATAGATACCTCTCTTCTCTGGCCAATAGAGCACACATTTCTGGAAAAAAGTAAAAATGAAACATTACTTTAGATTTGTTTTTGAATGTAAATTTGAATTATTCCTAATTAATTAAAACAATATGGTGTAGTAGTTAGAATGCTTGACTGAATTGATTGTCAAGATCATTGGATGACCTTGGACCAGTCAATATTTCTCCCTCACTGGACAAATGATGAGGTATAACTGTAACAAAAAGCTATGAATAAAAAATAGTGAACCAAATTATGATTCCATTCCTAAGACAGTATTGTTAATATTTAGGGATTGTACTCAGTAAGGTTCAAGACATAACAGAATGAAACACACGTCTATTTCTTGTAAACTGACCAGATAAAATAATAATAGGGTGGTATTTATACATATTGGCCAGAATACTCTATGATAATTGTGAATGTATAATGTAGGGTTACATATGTCTGTTACAGATTCATGATCCCTATACATCCCAGGGATTATGAAAATTCCCCAATCTCCATATACTGGGTAGCAGTTGCTGTGAACAATGGGGATTTGTTCCTGTGTCAATCAGAAAGCAACTGACTGATGTGAGAGATTGCAGCAGTTGGTTCCTGGAAAATTGGAATTGGGAGAATGGATTGGGCTGGGATTCACTGCATAACTATGGTGTTTACATATCATAGCTTCCATACAGGATTCCAGTAATTTTAAATAAATAACTAGAATATGCAACATGATTTTGCAAGTTGGAATGTTTCTATTCCATGTTCTAGCCAGTCACCCATGCCCTTTCCTAGGAAACTCTGTTCTATAGTGCTTCCCTGGCTTTCTTTGACCACTTCCTGAAAGCAATTGATCATTATTATGCATGGACTGAGATAGCTCAGTTCACATCGAGGTGTTTGTTTCTTTTCCCATAAAGATTTATTATACTTTTGCAAAACTTTTGATTCAACTTTGATTGACAGTACCTATGTCTTGTCCATGTGTCATTTTGATTATATAAGAACAATAATAACTAAATGAGTTTGAAAATATGATCACTGGTTTTGACTCAGTTTCCTATAAATTATGAAGAGTTCAAGAAAACATTCAAGTTCCATAGTTTTTAGCAAACTATAGTTTTGAAAGAGGAGATAATTGTACAGGAGGTGTATATGAGATACATCTTCATTATATTTCTGATTTCATTTTCCATATAAGATGACATCAACATTAAGGAAGAGCTAGGAAAATAATATTTATTCAGACCTTCATTCTGTATGAGCTAAATATCCCTATACTAATGATTTACAAAAAACCAGACAAGATCTCTCTCCTTAGACAAAACCACGGAAAACATGGGAAAGAAAATCTCTAGTGCAATTCCATTTGATATCTCCAGAGCAATGAAACAATGCAATATATCAAATCCATAAAACAGATATTCTCCAAAGCTTATTTTGTAACAAATTCATTCATTATCAGTTCATTTATGTAAGAAAAAGTAAAACTCCTTTACCTCTCACATATTCAAAAACACATATTCTGTTAAATGAAACCATACTGGCTAATTTAAGAGATTGCTTTCCAGGAGAAGTACAGAATTTCATTCAAGCAAGCAGGGAACTTCCAGCAATTGAAGCCCTGTCTATGCAGTGGTTCCCCAACTTTGGTCCTCCATATATTTTAAACCTCAGTTCCCAGAATTGCTGACTGTTGGCCAGATCAGCTAGGGTCTCTGGGCATTGAACTCCAAAACACCCGAAGAACCAAGGCTTGGTAATCACTGGATTGACACTAGCAATGCAATGCTCAGCCTTCAAAACCTCCTGTCAAATTTTACTACAACTAATCCATGAAACCCTGAGACTTTACTGAAATTGCAAATCATCATTTGGAATTTTTTTCAACTACAAACCTCAGCATTTGTTGTTGTTCATTCGTTCAGTCGTCTCCGACTCTTCGTGACCTCATGGACCAGCCCACGCCAGAGCTCCCTGTCGGCCGTTCACCACCCCCAGCTCCTTCAAGGTCAGTCCAGTCACTTCAAGGATGCCATCCATCCATCTTGCCCTTGGTGGCCCCTCTTCCTTTTGCCTTCCACTTTCCTCAGATAATTGTCTTCTCTAGGCTTTCCTGTCTCCTCATGATGTGGCCAAAGTACTTCAACTTTGTCTCTAGTATCTTTCCTCCAGTGAGCAGTCGGGCTTTATTTCCTGGAGGATGGACTGGTTGGATCTTCTCGCAGTCAAGGCACTCTCAGAACTTTCCTCCAACACCACAGCTCAAAAGCATCGATCTTCCTTCGCTCAGCCTTCCCTAAGGTCCAGCTCTCACATCCGTAGGTTACTACAGGGAATACCATGGCTTTGACTAGGCGGATCTTTGTTGCCAGTCTGATGTCTCTACTCTTTACTATTTTATCGAGATTGGACATTGATCTCCTCCCAAGAAGTAAGCGTCTTCTGATTTCCTGGCTACAGTCTGCATCTGCAGTAATCTTTGCACCTAGAAATACAAAGTCTGTCACGGCCTCCACAGTTTCTCCCTCTATTTTCCAGTTGTCAATCATTCTTGTTGCCATAATCTTGGTTTTTTTGACGTTTAGCTGCAACCCGGCTTTTGCGCTTTCTTCTTTCACCTTGATTAGAAGGCTCCTCAGCTCCTCCTCGCTTCTGGCCATCAGAGTGGTGTCATCTGCATATCTGAGGTTGTTAATGTTTCTTCCAGCAATTTTCACCCCAGCCTTGCATTTGTCAAGCCCCGCACATCGCATGATGTGTTCTGCATACAAGTTGAATAGGTTGGGTGAGAGGATACAACCCTGCCGTACGCCTTTCCCAATCTTGAACCAGTTGGTTGTTCCATGGTCAGTTCTTACTGTTGCGACTGGTCCTTATACAAATTTCTCAGGAGAGAGACAAGGTGATTTGGTATGCCCATCCCACCAAGAACTTGCCACAATTTATTATGATCCACAGTCAAAGGCTTTAGAATAGTCAATGAAGCAGAAATAGATGTTTTTCTGAAACTCCCTGCCTTTCTCCATTATCCAGCGGATATTGGCAATCTGGTCTCTCGTTCCTCTGCCTTTTCTAAACCCAGCTTGAACATCTCGCAACTCTCGCTCCATGTATTGCTGGAGTCTTCCTTGCAGGATCTTGAGCATTACCTTACTGGCATGAGAAATAAGGGCCACTGTACGGAAGTTTGAGCAGTCTTTCGCATTTCCCTTTTTTGGTATGGGGATATAAGTTGCTTTTTTCCAGTCTGATGGCCATTCTTGTGTTTTCCATATTTGCTGGCAAATGGCATGCATCACCTTGACAGCATCATCTTTTAAGATTTTAAACAGTTCAGCTGGGATCCCGTCATCTCCTGCTGCCTTGTTGTTAGCAATGCTTCTTAAGGCCCATTCAACCTCACTCCTCAGGATGTCTGGTTCTAATTCATTCACCACACCGTCAAAACTATCCTCAATATTATTATCCTTCCTATACAGATCTTCTGTATAGTCTCGCCACCTTCTCTTGATCTCTTCAGCTTCTGTTAGGTCCTGCCATCTTTGTTTCTTATCATACCAATTTTTGCCTGAAATTTACCTCCAATGTTTCTAATTTTCTGGAAGAGGTCTCTTGTCCTTCCTATTCTGTTGTCTTCTTCAACTTCCATGCATTGCTTATTTAAAAATAGTTCCTTATCTCTTCTGGCTAACCTCTGGAATTGCGCATTTAACTGGGCATATCTCCCCTTATCTCTGTTTCCTTTTGCTTTCCTCCTTTCTTGGGCTACTTCCAGTGTCTCAGGAGACAACCATTTTGCCTTCTTGGTTTTCTTTTTCTTTGGGACGTACTTTGTTGCCGCCTCCTGAACAATGTCTCGGACTTCTGTCCATAGTTCTTCTGGGACTCTGTTTACTAAATCTAGTCCTAAATCTGTTCTTCACTTCCACTGTATATTCGCTAGGAATGTTAGTGAGATCATATCTAACTGGTCTGTGTATTTTCCCTGATCTCTTTAGTTTTATTCTAAATTTGCAATAAGAAGTTCGTGATCTGAGCTACAGTCAGCTCCAGGTCTTGTTTTCACCGACTGGATGGATGTCCGCCACCTTTGGCTGCAAAGGATGTAGTCAATCTGATTTCGGTGTTGACCGTCTGGTGAGGTCCATGTGTAAAGCCGTCTTTGAGGTTGTTGGAAGAGAGTATTCGTTATACACAGCGAGTTTTCCTGGCAAAATTCTATCAGCCTGCGTCCCGCTTCATTTTGTTCTCCCAGACCATGCTTGCCTGTGATCCCAGTTGTCATTTGACTTCCCACCTTGGCATTCCAGTCTCCTGTAATGAAAATAATGTCTCTTTTTGGTGTATTATCCAGTAGGTCCTGCAGATCCTCATAGAACTGATCTACTTCTGCTTCTCCAGCAGCTGTGGTTGGGGCGTATATTTGGATCACTGTAATGTTGAAAGGCTTTCCTTGCACTCGAATTGAGATCATTCTGTCATTTTTTGGGTTGTATCCAAGCACCGCTTTAGCGAATTTCTTATTAATTATGAAGGCTACTCCGTTTCTTCGATGTTCCTCTTGTCCGCAGTAGTAGATCTGGTGGTCATCTGATGTGAAGTGGCCCATTCCAGTCCACTTCAGTTCGCTGACCCCCAGAATGTCTATCTTTAGTCTTGACATCTCGCCAATAACAACATCCAATTTGCCCTGGCTCATAGACCTTACATTCCAGGTTCCTATGGTGTGTTGATCTTTAGAGCATCGGATTCGTCGTTCACCTCCAGTACCGTCGGCCGCTAGCCTTCCTTTCGGCTTTGAGCTAGCTGCGTCATCACATCTGGGGCTAGTTGAACTTATCCTCTGCTCCTCCCCAGTAGCATTTTGGCCATCTTCCGACCTGGGAGTCCCATCTTCCAATGGCATACCGACATATCTCTGGTTGTACTGGTCCATTTAGTTTTCTTGGCAAGGATACTGGAGTGGTTTGCCATTGCCTTCCCCAGGGATCACGCTTGGTCTGACCTCTCTGCCACAACCGTCCCGTCTTGGGTGTCCCTTCACGGTTTCGCTCATGACATCATTGAGGTGCTCAAGCTCCAGCGCCCCGACAAGGCGGTGATCCTTTGCTGGAGCTTGAGCACCTCAATGATGTCATGAGCGAAACCGTGAAGGGACACCTCCTCAGCATTTCCAGCATGATAAATAATAATATTTTTTCCAAGACAGGATAACAACAATCCCCACCATCCCATAACAACAACAACAACAACAATCATCATTATTGCCAGCACCATCACCACCACCTCTTTCTTTTTATCACTAGCTCCATCTCTACAAGCAGCACCATTCACCTCTTTTGGAAGATATTTCTTTTTCCAACAGAAGGAAGAACAATATCAAATACTGCAGCTGCACCATGCATAGTCACAATCTGATTGTCCACTTCTGAGATGTCTTGATAAATGAGTCTACTGTATGTGCAGCTCCCTAAAGACTTTGGACGCTAGTTCAGGAAAGGTTTTCTTATCTTGTTCCCAGTCCTTCTAATTGGCAGCTTTCTCTGAGAGGATAATGCACAGCCTCCCTCCATCACAATAGTTTCTAATGTTCAAGGAACATTAGAAACTATTGTTAAAGGAGCTTTATTTTTATTACTCTGCTACTATGACTTTAGAAATCTCACCCACTTCCAATTTATTGTACTGATAAAAGGACTTCGAAACAAATAAAAATTATTTGCAGTGTGTGAAACACAACATATAGTTTACATGTCTGATTATTTGCAACTTTCGAGTTTTATTTGAAGTTGGAAATAATTAATGATGTTTACTAATCCATTCAAAGTATTTATTCCGATGAGTCCAAACAAAATCAAAACAATCCCCTGCAACTAATTTGGGCACTGTTGTGTGAAGTTTCATACATAAGTGTTAAAAAATTCAATTCTTTGGAATATGGGTATAAATTGTCTATACACACATTGTTTTGTGAGCTTATTTTCCAACATGGACTTACTGCAAAATGTTAAGCTATATATGCACAAACATCATTTAACTGACAGGAGAATACTATTTTTTGATTCCATTTCATCATGCCTTTCTTTTCATTTATTTCCTTTTGGGGATTGATCCTAACATTACTTTAGACATTTCTGATGCGAACATTTCATATACAATTTGTCTCTTGATCATGAAAACTATACTTCAGAAAACTGAAAAATACTTTGACAGATTGCTTGCATTTGTCACAGCTGTTTCAAACAAAAGCAAGACATCGCCCATACTTTCCCCTACAAAGAGTATAGTCAAAACTAATTCATTGTAAGATTTGCACATGATTGTTTTGTGCAGGAAAAAAAAGTATTTTCTTGGCAAAATTAATATTTCCTTGGGGGACCACGATTTTCTGCGGGGGAAATACTGTTTTCAGTGCAGAAAATGTAGTTTTCTGTGCAAAACATACCATGTGAATTTCACATGAAATGTCACTAACTGGGAGCAGACATCAAAACAATACTTTTCAAAGGCTTTCAAAAGCTGGAAGAAAAATGTTAAAAGTACTTTGAGAAGAAAATTAGACAGAAATTACATCTCTGTGCTTCAGATGAAACTTGGTTCATTTTCCTGTGTTGGAGATAGAGACAAGTTGTGTTTTCATGGTGTTTTCCATTTTTGATACAAAAAGGCATCTGATCCAAATGAGTGTCATTTCCCCTTTTCCAAGGCCATGGATGGGATGCTGATTTTTTTTCCTGTGTGTGGTTAATGGTTTGAGTCTTAAACTATGACTCTGGTTTGAATCCTCACTTGGCCATGAAAACCCACTGGGTGATCCTAGAAAGTCAAACACTCTCAGCCCCAGAAAACTTTGTGATAGGTTCACCTTAGGACCGCCATAAGTGAGAAAAAACTTGAAGACACACAACAACATAACTCAGTATTAAGCCAAATAAAAACTGAAGACCTTGTTCAGGTAAAAAATGATTTGGTAGAGGCTTTCAGCAAGTACGATGTCTCGCAAATTGACTTACATATAAGATATTTCTGACTTTCCCATATCATACCACCATTTTGATGTCTTGCTTAGTTATTTGTGTTTCTGCTTTTTCTCCTTTTTTGAGTGGAACCACACACACACACACACACACACACACTTATATAATTAAAATAGGGTTGTAGATATTCACAAAATCTAAGCTGCCATGCTTACATGCCATGCAAATAAGATGGTATAATAATTTGCCTATAACCCAAACAGTACTTAACATGTTTGCCAGGATTTCACAGTGGAATGTCAAAAGCTCATGTAAACACAGACTTTCTCCCTGTAGCCTGGGAACAAATTAAGAAGTCTCCCCCTCCTTCATTAGAAGGAAATTGCCACTGTCTGTTCACAACAATGCATATAAACAATATTGTAATGAGCTTGAGCTATTCAGGTAAACACAGGGCTTCCTGAGATGTTGGAAACTTGAGGGTGTTGCTTTCAAGTCATTCTTTTCAAACATCGTCAGGGGTATTTAAAAGTTTGGCATTTCCTCTGGGAAAATATTTCTTCTACAGACTGTATTATCGCAGGGAGGTTTTCAGCTATATCTTGACCAGATCACATAAGGAACTGTTTATAGTAGCTATGGCTAACCTAGATATTTTGCAGCTTTAAATATCCAATGGCTCAATCTCCCAAAGTAACAATTATGCATATCATATATCAAACATAGAAACTAATTTGTACAAGCCTGACTACATTTAGATCCAATCTTTTATGGTTTTTACTGATAATGAATAATAATTTGGATACAGGTTTAGTCAAAAGAGACTCATTTAAATAAGTGAGCTGCAATATAGTCACGATTAGCTCATGATTTTGGTGGATCTGCAGTTCTACATTGAGAACTGCTTTGAGTCGGGTGCATCTGAAGCTGCTTCCACATACACAAAGATAATTTTCATGCTTTAATAAGTTGTGAACTCATACCTCATTTTTCTCTTTCAGTTTTGTGATCATAACAATAACAGGACTATCCTCTTGCCATACCATCTGCCAGAAATCATTGACTGTATTAATCATGGGTCCCTGAGTTGCAATGAAAGCTTTCTCCTGGCCACTGTAACCCTGATTTAGAAACAGATATAAAAACAGTCACATTAGATCAGAATTTTAATAGAAGTTAAAAGAAATAAGCATTTGAATAAGAAGAAAAACAACAGAGAGGTCTTGCATAAACTTGCCACTGATGGGTCATTTGTTAGGAGAGTATATAGCCCACTGAACACACACAAAATAGAGAAGATAGTTGTATATGTCAGAGCGCGAAAAAACAAAAACAAATCCAGAGGTGTATGCTTAGATCCATAATACTGGACAGGCTTTGGGGTTCTTCAAAACTCTTCATAGGTTAGATGGCCTTCCACACAGCCATATAACCCAGAATATCAAGGCAGATAATCCACAATATCTGCTTCAAACTGCTTATCTGAGTCCACACTGCCATATAATCCAGTTCAATGTGAATTTTATACAGCTGTGTGGAGGGGGCCAAAGTGATAGGGAGGAAAAGTGATAGATGGTCAAGCCATGAAACTGTTTAGACATTTGATATTCTGGGTTATATGGCTATGTGGAAGGGCCTTGAGAAAGACAAACAGACAAACAAAGAATAAGTGTCTAAACAGGTTCATGGCTTGACCATCTATCACTTTTCCTCCCTTCCACATAGTCATATAACCCAGAATATCAAGGTAGATAACCCACAATATCTTCTTTGAACTGGGCTATTTGTGTCCACACTGCCATATAATCTAGCTCAATGTGGATTGTTACAGCTGTGTGGATTGGGCATCAGAAACCTTTTTGGTAGGGTCCAAGAAGTAATTTGAAACCCTCTCAGGATGTGATTCTTTGTTCATTCATTCAGTTGTTTCCAACTCTTTGTGACCTCATGGACCAGCCCACGCCAGAGTTCCCTGTCAGCCGTCACCACCCACAGCTCCTTCAAGGTCAATCCAGTCACTTCAAGGATGCCATCCATCCATCTTGCCCTTGGTCGGTCCCTCTTCCTTTTTCCTTCCATTTTCCCCAGCATAATTGTCTTCTCTAAGCTTTCCTTTCTTCTCATAATGTGGCCAAAGTACTTAATCTTTGTCTTTACTATCCTTCCCTCCAATGAGCAGTCGGGCTTTATTTCCTGAAGTATGGACTGGTTGGATCTTCTCACAGTCCAAGGCACTCTCAGAACTTTCCTCCAACACCACAGGATGTGGTGGAGTCTCTCAAATATCAGTACCCATCTCTCATTTTTCATCTTAAGGACTCAAACAGGTGCAGAGGCTATGGCTTAAACATCAGCCACTTCTACTCATCCTCCTTCTTGCTTTGTTTTCCATCTAGTTTGATGAAATGTTTTGAAGAAACATAGTCTTTTCTGACCATTGAATTTGGTCAATACACATTGTAATAATAAATGTTAAACTCGCGTTTGGTGTCCACTATATTTAAATCATTGTTCTGTGTATTTTACTATGTGTATTTTATAGAAATATATTTAATATAATAATTATGTGTTTTTAGCTATGTTGTAACTTGCCTTGAGCTATGAAGAGAGGTAGGTAAGAAATATAATTATTATCATCATTATTATATAGATTTGAGTATGGGACTGTTTGTAGATTGTTCATAATTTTTTATTAATAGAGGGAGAAGTCAACAAGGAGCCTGATCATTGTTGTGAGAACAACACTTTGCAACATATTGTGGAAGAAAAACAGAATAACAGCTCAGTAGAACCAATGCTTTTCTCTAATAGCTCAATAGAAAAATAAGATAGAAGATGGCAAATTCACACCATGTACACTACTTGACTTTGTTGTTGTTGTTCATTCGTTCAGTCGTCTCCGACTCTTCGTGACCTCATGGACCAGCCCACGCCAGAGCTCCCTGTCGGCCGTTACCACCCCCAGCTCCCTCAAGGTCAGTCCAGTCACAGTCACTTACCTTGATGTAGTTTGCATTTATATAGGTGCTCAAGGTATCCCCTGGGTACTTTGGTTTCAAGTAGACTCTGCTTACAGGATCTGGAAAGACAATAAAATCACTCTACTTTTGAAAACTACATAAGTATATGAGACATGTTGAAGAGGAAACCCTAACATTAGATTTGAAAGAGCATGTACCATGAACACCAGGGACATCGCATTTACATTTTCCAGCATCCTAGGATGCTGCTAGTATGCTGCGAGGACAAAGCAGAGCACATCACATCATGCAGGGCTACTTCTGGCAGGGCTCTATCCTGGCTCCATCCTGGAAACATCCTAAGATGGAGCCCAGCGAACATGAGAGGCTGCCAATGTTCTCATTAGTTAACAAGGCCAGTGCAGGGGGAATCTAGATCGTGATGCTTTCCCCTGTGTGATGGGGAAAGTAACAATGAGGGTGATGTGGGGTGCAGACCGATGGATTCCCCTGCTTTTTTTCCACGCCAGGAGCAACTTGAGACACTGCAAGTTGCTACTGTTGTGAGATAATTGGCTGTCTGTAAGAACATTGCCCAGGGGACGCCCAGATGTTTTACCATCCTGTAGGAGGTTTCTCTCATGTCTCTGCATGAGAAGCTGGAGCTGACAGCTGAGAACTCACCTCACTCCCTGGATTTGAACTGCTGACCTGTCAGTCAGCAGTCCTGCCGGCACAAGGATTTAACCTATTGCAACATCGGGGTTTCTCCTGCTGTCCCATGGATTTGCCACAATGTCTGGCAAATCCCCCTGCTGTTACCTGCATTTGGAACCTATATATGATGAGGTCCTAAGTTCCTATGATTCTAATATCTTAAGACAGTTGTTTATATTAATGTATACTAATCTGCGAACATACTGTAACTAAAGTTTCAAATGGATTTAGCAAGACAGAACTCCCTTGGGAAAATGTTAAACAGTTGGGTTCCTATTACAGAAAAAAGTATTGTTATATGTATGTCATATGGAGTTGTTTGTAGATTATTCATAACTTTTTATTGATAATTAAAATCTGAATTATTTCGAACAAATTAAATTTGAAATATTTAGAACAATGGGAATTCTGTTTCATTGATCTCAGTATGTCTATTTGGATCGAAGAATGTGAGAGAAACTGCTTTCTAGAGTGTGCAGAAAGTTGTCAGCATTTTGCAAAAGTGAATGTGCCCATTAAAAATGCATGATGGCAGTAGATACACAAAGTACTAAGAATTTGCAAGAAAACAGGCTTGGTTCACAGTGATGATGTGCTTCAACTTAAAGTCATAATGTCATAATGTGCTTCAACTTAACAAAGGAAAAGGAAGAATGAAAACAAGAGAATTCTGTCACTTAAAATTAAAAAGCCATCTCACATTTCCTAAAAAAATAAATGGCAATACAGATGTTTTCAATTATTTCAATACAAGGCTATAGAAGCTGGTCAGAGATAGATGGAGGGAAGTTGAAAGCTTATGGTTTTTAAAAAGACAAATACATACAGATAACATTTCACACAACACTTGCCAGCAATTCTAGGTAGCCAGGTTGAAGAAGCACACCTATTGTTAGGAATCAAAAAGCTGACATAAGTTGAAAAGGATGGGGGTGGGAGGCTCCCCTGCTGAATGAAATACTAATAAAGGTTGAAATGATTAAGATATTCGGAGATTAAGATCTTCCAGGGAGGCCCTGCTTTCGGTCCACAAGCGCGATTGGCAGGGACAAAAGAGAGAATCTTCTCAGGGATTGCCCCTTGGCTATGGAACTCCCTCCCTGGCGAGATTAGATCAGCCCCCTTCTTCCTGTCCTTCAGAAAGATGGTAAAAAGTTGGCTGTGGGACCAAGCCTTTAGGATACTGCAATAAGGAAAAAATAGGAAACTCTACCCTGCTGATTAGATCCAGTGTGGCTGATCTGAGATGGTTTTAAACAATTGAGTTTAAGTAGAGATAACTGATTTTAATGTTTGTGTATATTTATAGTTTATTTTATGTCCCGGCATTGAATGTTTGCTGTTTGTATATTGTGCTCCACCCTGAGTATCTGTTGGGGTGAAAAGAGCAGAATATAAATGTTTTAAATAAATAAATAAATTGAAATTGACTTACTTGGAAGGATGGTTTTATAACGATTTTTTGTTCCATGGCTGGGAATGTCAAGTTCTTTAGGATCCACAAAATTCATGGGAATTTCCTAAAGAGGAAGGAAAAAGAAAAGAGGACCAAGAAATATTAAGTATTTATAAGGAGCCATGTGTGATTTGCAGGTAATAAAGATTGGCTGTGGAGAACAGTGTTTATTGTAGCTAGTGGATTGGAAGGTAGGGCAGCAGGTAGAACAATGGCAATCTAGACTACTCTTCCAAAAGAACTATATATCCTAGACTGCAGAAAGGAGGCGGGGGGAGAGGGGAAGACAGAAAAGGGGAAAACTGAAACCACACTCTAAGATATAACTCATCAAACACTATATACTCAGTCTGCACATATATACCCAAATCCCATTGTTAGAGTTTTTAAACAATGGAAAACAACTTGAGGAGGTTGTGATACTTTTTATAAATAGAGCATGAGTTAGAGAATGAGAATAGAGTATTCAATCCCTTCTGTATTGAACTCTATTTTAATTGCTCATATTTACCACTACAAGGGCACTAGATAGTGTGGGGATATACAATATGACCCAGAGAACTGATCAATCCATTTCTTCTGGGGGCATTCCTCCCAAATCAAATTGGCTATGGAGCAATAGGTCTGGGTTCATTGCATAGATCACCTAAAGGATATTTACTGTGTAGCTATCAACCTTTCTACTTGTTGTCTTATGTTTGGCGTTATGTTTATATATTTGTGATGGTCTTTTCTTGGTTTAACTATGCTGGATAGGGTTAGGAAATCTGCAAGACAACAGTTTCTGAGTACAGCTTATGTTCCTTAGATACGATAAATCATATGTTGGGATATAATCTGCACAACACATGTAGCTCTTGGCTACTTCATAAAAAGGGTATAGAGCAGGCATGGACAAACTTGGGCCCTCCAGGTGTTTTGGACTTCAACTCCTACAATTCCTAACAGCCCAGCAACTGTTAGGAATTGTGGGAGTTGGAATCCAAAACTCATGGAGGGCCCAAGTTTGCCCATACCTGGTATAGAGCCATAAGACATTCCACTCACCTTTTCCAATCACTAGCCGATCCCTGAACACACCAAGGTAACTGTGAACATGATCAAATCCTTTTTCTATTATAGTGCTATCATTCCAATTTAACTGCCACGACAACTTCCAATGGAATCCTGGGATTTGCAGTTTGGGGAAGGAAATTCGGAATTCTCAGCCAAAGAGCTCAAGTGTCTCACAAAACTACAGCTCCCAGGATTCCATAGGATGGAATCATAGAGTTGGAAGAGACCTTGTGGCCCATCCAGTCCAACCCCCTGCCAAGAAGCAGGAAAATCGCATTCAAAGTATCATGGTGTTAAAGTTGAAGAATAGTACTACCATTGTGGAATATGAAATGGCCTAGCCACTATGTCATTCATGGTGTCATTCATGCCAATGGGTTGTGAGTTTCTACATTGGGTTTCAGTTTGACCTTCAAAAAAGCTTCCCAAGGTGCTGACCCTTCCTCAGCCCAAAAGGTTCAGTAGCTTAGATACCTAACCTAGGAGCCACCAGCAGATACAGGTTAAATATCACTGCACTGGGGCTTGGTTAAAGGGGGGAAAGCAGCTATGTGAACATGTGAGTGTTTTTGAGGGATAGAGAATGAATATCTCTTTCCTTCTCATCCTATCCCCCCCCCCCCCCGCTCTCTGTATGTTGAACCCATTGACCACTGCCAGACTGACTGTTCATGTAATTCCTCTATTCCCCATAAAGGATTGCTACCCTCAATGAGGAGTTGGTTGATAACAAATCATAATCTATAGCTAGGGACTTGCCTGTTCTAGTTTTATGATAGTGCATGAAACTATAAATGTAACTTTCTTTTAAGCAGTTCAGGTAAAGAAAAAAACAACATGTGTGTCAATGCTGCATCAGGTTAGAATGCTTGTTGGGTAATCACATGCTTGAACATTTGTGAACACTAGAAACTCCAGTATGTAAAAACCAAGTAGTTCACATAGACAGCTTTTAAATATTTTCATATAAGTGTGCATCACAGGGAAAATTTGGAACTTAACCTGTATCCATATCCATTTTTAAAATAAAAAAAATTATCAATATGCTTACCATGAATTCTGTCTGAAGCAAATGAGAACTTGTAACAGTGTCCTTTAACTGCTGCTTTGTCAAGATCCGGCTAGCAGACTGGAGGTACTCCATTGCTACTTTTTCTCTTGGTGTGGGCACAGCTACAAAAGGTTCAACACTTCCTAAGCTGCTCATATCTAAGGTGAGTGAAACATTGGATCCTCGCCTGGAGCATAAGACAAATAGCGCACAATCATGAGAATTGTTGTTTAGGAATTTGGGGTTTGTTCTAAACAGGGAGCTACTAAATTGCCCACATCAGGTTGTATCACAAAAGACTACGATTACTTGCAGGTGAGAAATTCATCTGCTTCTTTTACACAACTTTGTAAGGAATTCACATACTTTTATCATTCATTTGTAATTCTCTCTTATCGTCTTACTATTGTCTATCTTTTATTTCTCCAAAGGAAATCCAGTAAGGAAGAAAAGATGACATAACTGCCCAATATCCATTAATTGGTTGTGCAAGGAGCACTTCTGTCACCAATATCACCTGTTATGTCAGGATGTGAACAATTTTATTCATTGTATTTGACATGCTAAGGTTGATTTGTGGTTACTTCATCACATTCAAAGCCAATCCATGCATTAAACCATAGTCAGCTTGTGGTCCTCCAGATGTTGTCAGCTCTCACTGATAGATGAAGCATATAGGCGAGGATTAGAAATAGAACGAATGGCAGCAGATATCCAGCAATATAAACTGTTTACCTCTGATTTTAAAAAAGCCTATCCAAACAAATTTTAAAAAGCTGTGCTAGGAGGTACTTCAGCTTATATCTATCTATCTATCTATCTATCTATCTATCTATCTATCTATCTATCTATCTATCTATCTATCTATCTATCTATCTATCTATCTATCTGGTCCATCACACGAATGCAGTGTGGCAAAGCCCAGACAAATTACTCAGGCCTGGAGGTCTGATAGGCAGTCCAGGACTTAAATATCTTGGATATGTTTTTGTTGAGAGTCACTCCTACAGCCTTCACTAGCTTGAATGTGTGAGCAAAGGAGAATATGGTTGCTTTATCCCAGGGTCTGGCCCTGATTTTCCAGTTCTCATGGATCGTCTCCAGGTACAAGGCACAAATACAAATTGTCCAGTTTTGCGGGCTGAGCTCCACGAAAGAAGAAAGGACTCCATCACAGCTTGGAAAGCAGCAGCTTGTTACATTTGATTAGTTGCTGTAATGTGGAAAGACTCTCAAGAGGTCTATCAAGCTTATGATGATTATCCACAATTGTCAATCACATATATTTGGTGGCAAATGGCTGCCTCCTTTTATTTTTTTCATCAGGACCTGAATCTGGTCTTGGCAGCCCTGAACAAATAGCAAAATGACTTGGGCCCCTTCCATATGGCTGCATAAAATCCCACATTATCTGCTTTGAACTGGGTTATATGGCAGTGTGAACTCAGATAACCCAGTTCAAAGCAGATATTGTGGATTATCTGCCTTGATATTCTGGGTTATATGACTGTGTGCCCCATTTTGCACTATTCCATTCCCTTGTTTTGTTGTGCACTGTTTTATTGAGTTTTAAATTGTTTTTATATGCTATATGTTTTTATTATATTTTATTGTACTTGTGTTTCATTTTATGCTCTGTTATAGGCACCTTGTATCATATGTAAGCTGCCCCAAGTCCCTTTGGGAAAATGGAGGTGGGACATAATAATAAAGTTATCATCATCATCATCATCATCATCATCATCATCATCATCATCATCATCATCTCTATGTGTGGAGGGGCCCTTCGGCTGGTCCCAGAAGGAGAACATAAAACAATTGGGTGCTAGCTACTGTTTGTCCTACTTGTGGATGTCCTGTAGGCACCTGGTTGGCCTTTCAAAGGACTGGATAAAACAAGCAACATGCATTTTTGTATATCATAACATATACATGATGCCATCCTTCTTAACTTATCTCTGATAAGGCATGAGTGGCTGTTTAGCCAAAAGGAGGAGCAAATTTGGGGACTATTCTGTCTCTCTCTCCCTCCCTCCCTCCCTCCCTCTCCCTCTCTCTCTCTCTCTCTCTCTCTCTCTCTCTCTCTCTCACATATACACACACACACACACACATACACCCTGCCCCATTTCTGGGTTCCTTCCCACATCTCTTTGCAAAAATGTGTGGAACTATTCACAAAATGGCAGGGAGGAGATGGCAGAGGCAACTAAGTCTCATACTTGACACAGACTTCTCTCTCCACAATAGTCTGTGAATCCCCCTCCCCCTACCTAAACAAGCAAATACATTCGTATTGTTTTGTAACAAAGCATAATTGAAATGTTAATATTTTCCTTGGCCTTTACATTGTTTTATCCACCAGTCATAGCAAAAGTGCTACTTCCTTTCTAACAAAATGTGGCCATATCTAATTATAACTTTGAATTCATGGCTTTTTCTACTTCAAAACAAAGAAATACATTAATTCACCCAAACAGAAGCAAAGGTATAATAATCAGAAGACAATTCACTGGAAATTGTTTAAGAAGGCATTTAGAAATAAATAAAATATTTTTAGCTATTAATATTGGATAACAGTAAATACTCTGAAATATATGTAATGCAAAAAATAATTGGTATAATAAAATTCTTAAATCTTCAACATACCATCAATCTTATTTTGAAACAGGCTTTTTCAGAGCTTGAAAAAAATATCTCATTTTGGATGACAGCTTCCTGAATTTCTCAGTCAGCAATGCAACAAGCCTGCTGGCGCATTCTGGGAGCTGTATTCCAAAACACATGCTTGGATATTCCCAAGGATGCAAGATGCCTGGATCCAGATCCAGGTGTGAGCCAACTCTTGCCTACATGTGTAACCAAATAAAATTGTGACCTTTTCCCCCCTCCAAGTTATGATAACTGCTTAGTCTTTTGGGTCTTGTATATGAAGCATATCTCATATCTGAACATGCAAACTTCAGTGCATGCTAAAATGGGCCCAGTCTTTGAAGAAGTCTAGGAATGATTTAATGCAATCTCAGAAAATACAGTCCAAGTATATACAGTATAATTAAGTTTGAATATGATGGGTGTTAAATTACTTAATTTCACAAGGGAGAACAAATAATTGCATTAATTATTTCCCCTGCCAGACATCAAAAACTATGTTGGTAGGAAGAGATGAGACCCTAGAGTTTTCAACATGCAAACCCATCTCCACCTTATTAAGCAAATGTATTAAGCAAAGTTAAATGATCATCCATGGAATGTATGCTCTCTGACATGTTCATTTATAGGAGATGAAGAGCAGCTAGATAACTCTGCAGCCTTTACCCTCTTCTTTTTATGGAAAGTCCCAGTGTGAATTAGAAGACAGAAATAAGATACGGGTGGTAAGACATTTCTTAATAAGTAATCTCTTGAGTATTTGTGAATAAGTTTTTTCAGCAGTATTCATCTGTATGTAATAATTCATAAATTGGGCATAGTCTTTTCACACTTTTGCTGGATTCAGAATGATCACTTCACACCAAGTCTGGATATTTTTAGCAATGGAGCATAAATGATTCAAATTGCAATAGCCAAAGGCATAGGAGGGGAGCTACATCAAACTGGAAAACTTTTGAAAGGAAACTCCACCTATCCATCTCAGTGGCAACCAGTCTGGTAAAACCCATAAATCATGAGAAGGGCCATTTCCTGCCTCTATTTTACCTCACATTCAATTACCTTCTCATACATGACAAGTGCATTTCAAGTACACTCTTATGGTTATTTCTGTAAAGGCAAACCTCAGTCTTGGATCAGTGCTCAATAAGAACATAGTGTCAATCCCCATTTTGTTCATTTTTTTCATTGCCAGGGAATGAAATCAAGCTCATTGATACCCTAATCATCAAAATGTTTATCTGGCTAATACTTGAAATGTAATAAAATTCCCAGGACCACATAGCCAGCAGCAGATTCAAAGGACGTATCTATGCTATAGAATCAACGCAATTTGACACCATGGTTCAGTGCTATGGAATCCTGGGAGTTGGTTAGTGTAATTTTTCCATGGTGTGAAGAATGAGATGTCACTGTTGCATAACTATTGGTCAATTTTTGTATATTATCTCCCAGTTATCTCAAGGCTTTATAATGATTTCATGCTTTTCAAAGATTTGTATTACAATGAAACCTAGGGTGCATCTACACTGAGAATTAATCCTTACACCACTTTAACAACCATGGCTTGATGCAGGCCCGTAGCCAGGATTTTGTTTCGGGGGGGGGGGGGGGGCTGAGTCTGAGTGAAAGGGGGTCTACCCTAGCAAACCTTTTGTATCGTTACCCCAATACCCCCATGCATATGGGATATATTGAGCATGGTGATCAGATCATGATATGAATAAACATAACAGTTTAAATAATGTACCAGTAAGGCCTTCTCGCAGACCACCATGAGAATTGGGGGGGGGGGGCTGAAGCCCCCCAAGCCCCCCCCCCCCGGCTACATGCCTGGCTTGATGCTATAGAATCCTGGGAGTTATAGCCTTACAAGGTCTTTAGCCTCCTCTGCCAAAATGTTCTGGTGCCTCACCAAACTGAAAATCTCAGGACTCCATAGCATTGATCCATAGCAGTTAAAGTAGTGTCACAGTCCTCTGCGGCTGATGTTCCTTGTCACTGGAAGGATGTTATCAATCATTCAGCAGGAGCCCTGTTTTCTGGTTTCAGATACAAACTGCTCCACGTTGTTGTGAGTTTTCCTGGCTGTGTGGCCATGTTCCAGAAGCATTATCTCCTGACGTTTTGCCTTCATCTATGGCAGGCATCCTCAGAGGTTGTGAGGTCTGCTGGAAACTAGGAAAATGGGGTTTATATATCTGCAGAATGTCCAAGGTGGAGGAAAGAACTTTTGTCTGTTTGAGGTAGATGTGAATGTTCCAATTGGCCACCTTGATTAGCGTTTAATGGTCTAGCAGTTTTCAAGGCCTTGACTTCTTTCTGCCTGAGGGAATCTTTTGTTGGGAGGTGATTAGCTGGCCCTGATTGTTTCTTGTCTGGAATTCCCATTTTTGAGTGTTGTTCTTTATTTACTGTTTTGATTTTAGAGTTTTTTTTAATACTGGTAGCCAGATTTAGTTCATTTTTATAGTTTCTTCCTTTCTGTAGAAATTGTCCACACACTTGTGGATTTCAATGGCTTCTCTGCATAGT